GGAACTTTTTTGTGTATATTGCAAGACTGAGCAAATGAGTGAACATCTATTGACATTTTGAGGTACCAGGGATTTCACTGTGGGAGAAAAAAGATACAAATATAGATTAGGGGAAGGAGAGAAGGAAGATCCTATATTATTGGATTGGGTATCAGTTGGTGGTATCATTATGAATTCGTGATTTTGACGAAGTATTTTCCTCTTCTGTCCATTGAAAGACCCTAAAAACAATTTTGCCACAGAGTAGTGAGCACAGAGTGCACCCATATCTTGCTCTCTAAATACCATTCACCAGACTCTTTGGAAGCATAGATCATTTCAAGGTGAGCGTGCAACATCTTGTTGTGCCAGAAACGTTAAAAGTGCTCAATAACTGAGGAAGATGTGTCAAAGAGATACAAGAATCAGTTTAAGGGGGCTCCCACTCATCAAATTTGGGGCAATGCATACTCAATAAAATAGAATTCATGAGTTCATACTGAAATTAAAAAGAATTTAATTTTGAGACAGAGTCTTGCTCTGTTACTCAGGCTGGAGTGCAATGGTACAATCTCAGCTCCCTGCAACCTCTGCCTCCTGGGTTCAAGTGATTCTCCTGCCTCAGCCTCCCAAGTAGCTGGGATTACAGATGCATGCCTCTATGCCCAGCTCCTTATTTTTTTCTTTTTGTATTTTGTATTTTAGTAGAGATAGGGTTTCACTATGTTGCCCAGGCTGGTCTCAAACTCCTAAGCTCAGTTAATCCACCTGCCTCGGCCTCCCAAAGTACTAGGACTATAGGCATGAGCCACCACGCCTGGCCAAAAAGAAATTTTAAAGGGATTAGGAAGAAAAGGGAAGCCTTTTTATAGAAAAATGCCAACTAATAAACATAGACAAAATTACAGAAATAAAAAATTGCCAGCCAGGCAAGGTGGTCCACACCTGTAATCCCAGCATTTTGGGAGTCCTGAAGCAGGCAGATCACTTAAGTTCAGGAATTTGAAACCAGCCTGGTCAACATGATGAAATCTCCATCTCTAATAAAAATACAAAAAAAAAAAGCTTGGCATAGTGGTGCACACCTGTAATCGCACCTGCTCAGGAAGCTGAGGCAGGAAAATCAGGACCCAGGAGGTGGAGGTTGCAGTGAGCCAAGATCATGCCACTGCACTCCAGCCTGGGTGGCAGAGCAAGACTCTGTCTCAAAAAAAAAGAAAAGAAAAAAAATAAAAAATTGCCATTTCAATGGCCCGGTGCTGTGGTTCACACCTGTAACCCCAATACTTTGCGAGGCTAAGGCAGGTAGATCACTTGAGGTCAGGAGTTTGAGAACAGGGTGGCCAATATGGTGAAACCCTGTCTCTACTAAAAACACATAAATTAGCCAGGCATGGTGGCAGGTGCCTGTAATACCAGCTACTTGGGACGCTGAGGCAGGAGAATCACTTGAACCCAGGAGGCAGAGGTTGCAGTGAGCCTAGATGGCACCACTGCTCTCCAACCTGGGCAACAGAGCGAGACTGTCTCAAAAGGAAAAAAGGAAAAAAAATTGCCATTTTATAACTACCATAGTAATGTTTGATTCACAAAGGAATCATCTGTGGATACTAAAACCATTGGGAGAAAGTTGGGGAAATAGGTATTCACACAGTCACAAAGTAGCACATCCCAAGTTATATTTTAATTACAAAGAAAAGGAATAAGTATGACAGAGAAATCCAGTAGACACCACCTTAATTAAGAACAAATTCAACAACACCAATTTATAAAACAATTCACATAAGGTGCTAAGACCTGTGACACAACCATACCCTGTGCAATATCCTTGCCAATAATGTTTAACCAAAGTCTAGTCATGGGAAAACAATCAGACATCTGCAGAAGAACTGGCCCGAACTCTTCAAAAATGTCAATCATGAACAAATTTTAAAAGGACTGGCAAACTGGTTTACATTAAAGAACACTAAAGAGACATGAAAATAAATGCAAGGTCTATCATTGCCCAAATCTTGAATTAAAAAACAAAAACTGACCTGAGCATGGCAGCACAGACCATGTTTCCAGCTGCTCAGGTGACGAAGATGGGAGGAACACCTGAGCCCAGGAGTTCGATACCAGACCGGGCAACAGAATGAGACCTAGTCTCTAAAAATATGAATTAAAAATTAAAATTAAAAACCATGCTAGAAAACATTATTGGGCCAATTGCAGAAATTTAAATATAGACTTCCTATTAGAAAATAGTACTGTGTCAATATTAAATATGACCAGAGTGTCATCTTTCAGTCATGTTTATATATAGGAAAATGTTCTAATTTTTGAGAGAGACATGCAGTATGTTTTGGGGCTTGGGTGTCACGATATTTGTAACTCTCAAATGGTTCAGCTAAGGATATACACGTACAAAGGGAGGGAAAAGAAGAAAATGGGACAAAAATGGTAAAATTAGTGACATAAATAGCATATGAATGTTCATTGCACATTTTTCACAAATTTTCTGTAAGTTTGACATTTTTCAGAGTAAAACATTGGGAATAAGAAAAAAAGGGAGTTGTTTTTTTTTTTTTTCGCAGTCATGGCAAGATGATAGCATAGTTAGGCAATCTGAGAACCAGTAAATATTCCTCTGGGCTGATCCTTTCCCAGAGCGCAAGCCCTCACTGAGAAATTAAGCAAAAACAAAATCAGCAAGTGAATATGAAGCATCCAGTGAGATTTGAATTTCAGATAAGCAACGAACAATTTTTTGGTATAAGAATGTTGTGCCAGGCACTGTGTCTCATGCCTGTAATCCTAGCACTTTGGGAGGCTGAGGCAGACGCATCACCCAAGGTCAGGAGTTTGAGACAAGCCTAACCAACATGGAGAAACCCTGTCTCTATGGAAAAAAAAAAGAAAAAAAAAAATTAGCCGGGCATAGTGGCTCATGTCTGTAATCCCAGCTACTTGGGAGGCTGAGGCAGGAGAATTGCTTGAACCCAGGAGGTGGAGGTTATGGTGAGCCGAGATGGCACCATTGCACTCCAGCCTGGGTAACAAAAGCAAAACACCGTCTCAAAAAAAAAAAAGAATATTCCAAATAGTGTGTGGGATGCACTTTATTTGCTCTGGCAACCCCACTGAGAGGTACTTTGGTCTGTTCCATGCCCAGGGCATAAAGCATGCCATTTCAGGAACCAGGCCAGTTCAAGGTCAGGCCCATTTATCTTTTTTATTTACTGTTTTTATTTAATGGACCTCTATTTTCTTGAATGAAGATAACTCCTCGGGCTGTATTTTGTCCTTACATATTGGCAGTGTAACTTACCTTAGGCTTAATTTTTTCTTACTGAATTTCCAAGCTCTTTTCTACTCCCACCACCTTTGACTACCCAGTCCTTCCCAGTTCTCATTCTCTTCACTGTTTTTTCCCTTCTCAATGTCCACCACTTTGGCCGAGGAGGGAATATCATACCTCCAAAACAGTCAATGATCACTAGCAAGGATTGCTTCTGGAAATGTGAATCATTGCATTAACCCCACCCAACATCATTAGTTAAATGCTTTCAGGAGGCTGACCTGGGACCCTCCTCTCCCAAAAGAAACCCTAGATGTCTTGATGTAGCTTTTTTGATATATTTGGCAACCATCAGCTTCAGAGCAGCTCAGCATAAGAACTAATTAATATGTTACACTCTTAATTTTCCTCTTACCACTCAAGCCCCTTCTTTTTTGGTCTTCTTTTTCCAGTTCCTCTTATTTTTCTTAAGGTCTAAATGTTAGACAGCATCACTATTAAATCCTGGGCCTTTTCTCATCTCCCTCTCAGAACTAGTACTTCCCAAAGTTCAATCAGATAATTATCAACTTCATGATTTTTGCCATCTCTGGATAATTATTTACTTATTAATAATTTTCCATAAATAGATTTGACTTTTAAAAATGTATACATTTTAAAAGAAAGCTTTATGTCACAACTCTAATTGAAAATCCAGTTTCACAAATGGAAGATAAATCTAAACATAAAAACAAAAAACCCAAAATATATAATTTAACTTTTTACTTAAAATTCAAATAATCAGTAAGAACAAATCATTACAAATACAAAAATTTATAAAAATACACACCCCAATGAGAAAAATTGAACTGTTCCTGATTCATTAAGAACAAGAGATGTTTGGCTTCATGTATTTGACTCTTGCTTACAGGTAGGGAAGCTGAAGCCCACAAGGGCAAACAGCTTGCCTAAGATCAAAGCAAAATGCAGGCAGAGCTGGAACCATGGTCTTGAGACCACTGAGTCCCAGCTGCAGATAGTGGTCACACAATCCAGAAAGGAACAGTAGCTCTTTGAGGTATAAGGATTCAGTCAGGGAGCAGGAGCTTGGTACATGGTGTAGTAAAACGAATATAAACCTTGAAGTCAGAAAGGCCTTGGTGAAGTCTTAAATAGACCAGTAAAGTCATGTTGCCGTCTGCCTGTGATTGTGACTTTACCACTTTAAGCCTTTGTTTTCTTTCATTCCTTCCTTCTTTCTCTTTCTTTCCTTCCTTCCTTCTTTCTTTTTTGAGATGGAGTCTTGCTCTGTCACCCAGGCTGGAGTGCAGTGGAGCAATCTTAGCTCATTGCAAAATCTGCCTCCTGGGTTCAAGCAATTCTGTCTCAGCCTCCTAAGTAGCTGGGACTACAGGCACTCACCACCATGCTGGGCTAATTTTTGTATTTTGTTAGAGACGGGGTTTCACCATATTGGTCAGGCTGGTCTCAAACTCCTGACCTCAGGTGATCTACCCACCTCAGCCTCCCAAAGTGCTGGGATTATGGGCGTGAGCCACCATGCCTGATTGAAGCCTTCATTTTCTAGCATAACTCACAAATTGTATAATTTTAAGAGGACAATCAGACATATGTACTTAGTTTTCAGCCCAGTGGTTATCCAATCAGTAGAAATTTCTTTCCTTCCTCTCCTGCCTTTATATCACCCACACAGCTCAGATGTGCCCAACACCAGCTCTATTTCCTTTTGAAAGAGATACAGATTCTTTGAAGAATCTGTATGTATTTCCATTGTATCTCTGTGTCCAGGACTAGGAGAAAGGCCTCTATTTGTGCAAGGCTGATTGGTAAGATAAAACGCAGCAGCTCCTTGGCTTCTGCTGCAGGGTGAGTCTTTAAAGATGAAGATGGCCTAGAGATAAATCTGAAAGCCAGAGGATAACCCCAACTTTGAGCAGTGATGGGTGATCTACAGGCTATAAAGAAGTAGCCCTGTGGCTCAGGAATGGACTCAGCTTCCAGATCCAGTGAATGCTCAGAGACTTCTAGAAAAGTCTAACCCTGGGAAAGCCCTGAGGTCCAGGTTATGGTTAGCAAGAAGTCTACATCATTTGATGAGTGTGAAGAGAAGAGAGCTATTCCCATGGAGACAGTTTGAGAGGCATAGCTGTGGGATCTAAGAAACAGCTGGGATTTGAGTATTCAATGTCCACAGAAAAAGACGTGGCTGAGACTTAGAAGTGGTGAGAGGGGGGAAGGACAGGGTGGCTGGTCTCCATGGCACAGGAAGGAAAGCAGAACTTCCATTCATCACTTTGGGGGTGAGATTAGTTGAGGGCAAATTGTAAAGCATGTAACCCATCCATTGAATGGAATCTAGGGGAAGTAGATCACCTAATGGAAATGTTGGATGGTTTCAGCATTGTAAAAATAATAGGAAATGATCAATAGGGGAAAACCAAAATTGGGACTTTCAGGAATACTTGAGATTCCATGTATTCTTGGAAGGAATCCAGGTGGGTCTGGATTCTTTACGGTGCCATGGAAGACAGGTGGCAAAGTAACCAAGAGATTGCCACAACTAGGGTGAAGGCGTGGATCACCCATTCTGAAAGTGGGCCTGGAAGTACAGGGTGGGTCAAAAGGAGCAAATCACTGGAGATGAGCTAAGGGAAGAAAACGTGCCATGAGTTCATGAGTCTTAAACCTCAGCATCAGATACCAACAAGACGGCTAAGGAGAGAGACTGGAAAGACCAGGAAAGCAAGAGGACTTCTCTAAGACCCTGTGGATATGTGTTCAGGGACCTTTTTTACCAATCATACAACTGTAGCTCATCTCATCCTACTCAGAGGGCATCCAAAGGGAATGAAGAAGGAAATCTGAAGGAGGGGGCATATATCCAAAGAAGGTGGAACCAGAGAAGAGATTATTTAAATTTGAAAAGATTGAGATAAACTAACTGGCAAGTTCAAGATTTGTTTCCATAGTTCCTAGAGGCAAGTAGAGTGTCAGAGCAAGAATAGATCAATTTCAGGGAGAAAGTACATTCATCTGAGTCAGATCTTAAGTGTTCAATATCAGAACATGTGTTGCCTTTACCAGATTTCAACGCTGCAATAACTGGGACTTTGTTTTCCTCACATCACAGGCACATATCAGGCATTCAACATTTGCTGAATACATAAAATGAATGAATAAATAAATGACTCATTCTAGCATAGCAAAGCTTAGGTTTTAATTATTATGAGTATGCTATCTCACTGATTTTCCTAAGATTTAAAAACGTGCTCTGGAATAAAAATTTTTTGCTTTACACAACATATCTGGAATAATTTAAACTAAGAGAATCTTTGGCAGGGAGAATCAGGATATCCTGATAGCTCTTTGCTATTCCTCAAGTCACAGAAGTCAGAAAAGTCCAGTTGAAGCCTTGTGTAAAAGGTCTTTGCAAAGACTGCTTAAGTAGAGTTTCCCAAGGACACTTGGGAAGGTTGCCTCTTTCCCAATACAACATTGTAGCTCTTCTCTCTCCATCTTCCATCAACCATGGGGCAAAAGAAAGATCATCTGTCTCCTTTGATATTCTAAAGAGGCTGATGTCTGGCTGGAAGTTCTTCTCTGCCCAAACATCAAAATTCTAAACATGTTTTTCAATTTTCCCACAAATAGCCTGATTTACAGGAAAGCTGAAATATGTTCCAAATCTGGAGACATACTTGATTAATGGAGCTATAATGAGCATTGTTGGCTGCCATCCATTCTCACCTTTCTCCTTCAGAACAGGACCCAGATTTTATTCAGTATCTCACTCTCCCTCATGTAACTCAAGTGCCCCTAAAGCAAGCTGGCCTGTGCCCCTAGCTCCAAGGGTAGACCTGATGGTCTAATGCAGTAGTTCTCAGCTTGGGAGTTGATTTTGCTCTTCAGAGATGTCTGGTAATGCCTAAAATGTGACATATTTTTAGTGTCACAGTGTGGGGGGGAGGCATCTAGTGAGCAGAGGCCAGAAATGCTGCTAAACATCCTGCCATGCACAGGACAAGCCACAACAAAGAGTTATCCAACCCAAAAAGAGAATAGTCCTGAGGTAGAGAAACCCTGGTTTAAGGATTATGGTATCCCCCTTACAAGGAAGTGATTTAAGAAGAGCTTTGAGTTAGGAAAACAATCAATCAGCAAGATGGCTGCCAAGAGAGACCAGACATTTACAACCCCACCCACCCACCTCAGCAAGAAAGGACCAAGGCAATAACTACAGAGCTAAGATTTGAATGGAGCGTCGGAGGGAAAGTGCTAGAATGCAGTGGGGAAGTGGAGGTGCAGCTGTGATGATTAGAAGCCTAGTTGGGCAGCATGGACGAACCTGGACTCTGCAGCATCGTCTCCTCCACATGGATCACATCTGCCTGGAATCAGAAGGGACTCCACATTGTAGGGAAAAGTCAAGCAGAAGAGCCGCACCTGCCCCCACTGCTGCCGCAAACACCTACAAGTCCTTCCATCAGAAGAATCTCACAATCCTTGCGAGACCTGAATCCAGTTTGGAAAGCTGGTGAGAATTCACACAGCCGCATTGCCCCAGATTAGTAGAATAAGGTGCACTATCTAACCACCTCCCACCTGCTATGAGCCAAGCTGCTATAGCACAGCACCGTCTTGAGACTAGAGCCCACTCTGGAGTGGTCCCTGCTCTGGGGGCCAGTAGCCACTGCAGCTCTCCAGCACTGGGGCTCAATCCTCATTCCACCATGCCCACATAGGTGGCTGAATGTCATAACCCTAGCTGTACAGAGCATGATCCTAGGATTAGCTGTGACTCTTGTCCTGTGCAACAGGGAAACCAACTCCCCTTAACCTCACCAAACTTCCAGCTGGAGGAACAGTTGGCCGGTACCATCCAAGACAAATCTACCCTTGAGGTGGCCAAATCACTGCCAATTACCTTTCCTCAAGCAGGATAGGACACAGAGCCTCCAAAACTCCAAAATATCCTTGGGCCAGTGGGATGTCTATATACATGTGTGCAAAACCTGGCAAAGCTGCACTGCCATTACCACAGACTCTCTCATCGTAGGCCACTGAGAAACACAAACACCACTAGTGTGGATTACAACTGAGTAAATTACATAGACTACACTACTGTATCAACCTCGAACCAAGACCAATACACCCACCAAACCAACACTCTAAGTCCCATTCATCTGAACAAAATTTTTCATACAAAACATACTCTGTAAAATACAAAGAGGCTACTTTTCCTTAAGATGCATAGAAATCAACATAAGGGCACATCAACCGTGAAAAAGCAAGGAAATGTCACCACCATAGGAAAATGATAATTCTCCAGTAACAAGCCCCAATCATAAGGACATATATGAAATGCCAGAAAATAATTCAAAATAATAATCTTTTTTTTTTTGAGACAGAATTTCACTCCTGTTGCCCAGGCTGGAATACAATCGCACAATCTCAGCTCCCTGTAACCTCCACCTCCTGGGTTCAAGTGATTCTCCTGCCTCAGCCTCTCAAGTAGCTGGGATTACAGGTGCACGCCACCACATCTGGCTAAATTTTGTATTTTTACTCGAGATGGGGTTTCTCCATGTTGGTCAGGCTGCTCTCAAACTCCTGACCCCAGGTGATCCACCCACCTCGGCCTCCCAAAGTGCTAGGAATACAGGTATGAGCCGTTGCACCCAGCCTTAAAGAAACTCAGTGAGATATAAGAGAATAGAGACAGACAAGTCAACAAAATTTGGATAACAATTTAGTATTTGAATAAGAAATTCAACAAAGAGATATATATCATTAAAAAGACCCAAATAGAAATCCTGTAGCCAAAGAATTCAACAAATAAGAGAGCTTCAACAACAGAATAGACTGAGCAGAGGAAAGAATTTCTGAAATGGAAGACAGGACTTTTGAAATAACACAGGTATACCAAAAGAAAAAAAGGAAAAAAATAATAAATGAATAAAGAAAGCCTACAAGATTTATGCAACACTACTAAGTGAACAAATACACATATTGTTGATAATCTAGAAGGAGAAGAAAAGGAAAAAGGTGAGAAAAACATACTTAATGAAACAATAGCAGAAAAATTCCCAAGTATTGGGATTGAGATAGACATCCAGGTTCAAGAAGCTTAAACAACCCCAAATATATTCAATCCAAACAGGTTTTCTCTGAAGCACATTATACTAAAACTGGCAAAAGTCAAAAACACAGAATTTTAAAAGCAACAAGAGAAAAGCATCAAGTCAAATATAAGGGAATCTCCACTAGACTAACAATGAATTTGTCTGCAGAAAACTTTCAGGCCAGGAGAGAACAGGATGATCTATTCAAAGTCCTGAAAGATAAACTATTGGCCAAGAATATTATTCATAGCAAAGCTTTTCTTCAGAAATAATGGAGAAATGAAATATTTCACAGGCAAGCAAAATCTAAGGGACTTCGTCACCACTAGAGCAAACTTACAAGGAATGCTCAAGAGTCTTACATCTGGAAGCAAAAAGAAGATAACCACCATCATTAAAACGTACAAAACAGCTGGGCGCGATGGCTCATGCCTGTAATCCCAGCACTTTGGGAGGTCAAGGTGGGTGGACCACCTGAGGTTGGGAGTTTGAGACCAGCCTGGCCAACATGGCAAAACCCCGTCTCTACTAAAAATACAAAACTGTAAAATTCTCTAGTAAAGCCAATACTCAGAGAAAAAACAGAAAGGAATCAAACCTTATCAGTACAGAAAGCCACCCAGCCACAAAA